AGGAGTGAGCCACCATGCTAGCCTTTCACGTGGGTGACAGGAACACAGCAAGCTCCTTACCCACTCATCCATCTCCCCGTCCCCTGAGCATCTTTTCAGTGCTTATTTACTTCCTGTGTACCTTTTTTGCCGAAGTGTCTGTTTGGAATTCATTTTTTTAAAGATTTATTTTTTATTTAATGTGTTTCATCTGTGTATACCCTGTGTAAGGGTGTTGGATCCCCTGGAACTGGACTTACAGACAATTTTGAGCCGGGTGCTAGGAATTGAACCTGGGTCCTCTGGAAGAACAGCCAGTGCTCCAGCCTTCTCTCCAGCCCTGGAATTATTTATTTATTTATTTATTTATTTATTTATTTACTTACTTATTTTTTAATTTACACTCATGATATTCATTACTTACACTCATGATATTAATCACATTTGTGGTATTCATAGATTACATTCGCAGTATTCATTCAATTATATATATATATATATATATTTTTTTTAATTTTTAAATGTCGAATGTCATTTCTTGAAGGGGGTAGGAGGTCTTAAATACAGGCTTACAGCACAATGGGAGGACCCCAGAGGGCAGAAGTTCGCTACTGATGTTTTACAATCTTGCATCTAAGCTGTTAACGCCCATTATTCAAGATACACAGACAAGGAACTTCCCTTAAGCATTCAGGAGGGCAGAACCTGGCAGGGAATTAGCATAGGGAGGATATCAAGATCAAGGTCCGCAAGCAAGGCAACAGTTACCTAAAACGGGGGCCAGGGCCCTGCAGGTCCCCCTTTTATTAAAAAATGAGCTTCTGACTTGGGTTGCGTGGGACATCAGCAGGTCACCTTATGTGTCATGGAGATGCCTGCCCAGGCCACACAGGTGCTCTGTCTTAAGTTGGTGAGTGCCCCCCAGGCATTACCCGTCACTGAATACTCATTATCATACCGGCTCAATCGTGTGTGAGCTGCATGGTTAATTGCTGCCAAAGATCTCAAAGTGGCGCTGCGCTGGGCTTGCAATCTGTGTGTTCGATACAGAGAAGACCAACAGAGGTCCTATCTCACCCATAGCCAGTAGGCTAAAGGCAACTGAGCCATTCCCTTCCTTAATGAGCCATACTCTACGTTGGAGTCCTTGTAAGATGGTATCCCAAAAGCAACGGGAACTTGAGTTTATAAATTTATAATTTTCAAAGCCAATCGAGATGTATATAACTACATAAATTAAATTAAATTTATCCTGCCCAATAGAATTAAAGATTAACTAACTGTGGTAGCTACTTTTGTTGCCAGGGTCTCCACTGTGCTAGCTGTAGTAAGCAATTATGAAATGGTAATCCCAGAAACAGTAGCAGCAGTGGCCACCTCTGCTATAACAGCAACGACAGCAGCAGCAATCTCAAATTCTCTTCTGGAGTGTGTGGACATACACTGGCATGGACACAACTCCAGGAACACAAACCGCCAAGGCCCATTTTTCTTGATCCCAGCACAACTTAAGCTGGCAGCTCTTCTGGAGAATCCAATCTCATGGCTACAGTTCCTAGGCTTACATTAATGCTTGCCAAAGCTGGCCATATTGGGCTCTCAATCCCCACTGGCATCAGAAGGAGAGAGTTTTTCATTAAGGCCCAATAAGTCTCTGCCATGTTGGGCTTCAGCAGCAGCCACAGCGCACGTTCAGTGCTCAGGAATCCAAAGAGGAACCTCATTGTCCTGAGGAAAGACATAAACCAAACACCAGGGCCACACCAACACTAGATCGGGTCTCCTCCACGTGCTAGTAAAAAGATCCTTCCATCGCTCCAGAGGGTGATTTGCAACAGGAGCCCTCCAGTGCTTATCTGCCTCAGATCCTCCAGCAGAATCCACCAATAAAAAAATTTAAAATATATAAAACAAGGGAAAGAATAGAATGTGGAGAGGAATGATGAGTCCCTAGTTCTCCCTTTTTTTAACTTTAGTAAAATGTTTGTTTGTTTGTTTAATATTTCAAATTTTTCTTTTATTTTTATTTTTTATTGTTTAAAATTAATTAATTAATTAATTTTTCTTTTATCATCTCGATAGAGTATGTATTCTTATCTTAATAGTGAGATGTTTCATTGAGGCTTGCTCAATAATTGAGTAAAACCAAAATTTATTATAGGCCACAGTCGTCCTAGGGACCTCCTTGCTATATATATAGCCTCCATGGTTCTGTGGGTTGTAGTCTGTTCTTTATTTTATATCTAGAATCCACTTATGAGTGAGTACATACCATGATTGTCTTTCTGGGTTTGGGTTACCTCACTCAGGATGATTTTTTTCTAGTTCCATCCATTTGCCTGCAAATTTCATGCTTTCATTGTTTTTTCTCTGTTAAGTAGTACTCCATTGTGTATATGTACCACATTTT